AATACCGTCAAAATGAACCGCAGAGAAATTAGGCACAAATAAATGAACGACGGTTTATCTCAATACTGTCTAATAAAGATTTCATCAGTTGTACGGAGTACACAAACACTCTATGGCAGTTTATAGCGATAGACAGTGACAGATCATAATCCACTCCACGCACGCAAAAACCGAGTACGTTACGAGATGAAGAGACACGGAGTACATGCCACAAAGAAGAAAAAGGATGAAGTAAAACAGACCAATGAAAAAAATGTATGAGGTGGGTAATTGAAGATAATGGATAAGATGGATGAAACAAATGGATAATTATATAATAAATAATGCATGTAACGAAAAAGACAAAAGATGTGTAACGAAAGTGCACAGAAAAAAATAGTCACGTACCGCAGCAATGCCAAAATTATATCATTATCAGTTAAGCCTCAGAATTATGTGAGGATATTAAAAAAAACTCGTGTATTCCCGTTCAGTTGGTTGTTCTTCGAGGTTTAGAGGATCTTCCACTACTAAGGTCATTGAGTTCCAAAAGTGTGATCTATTAAGCGATAAAGACGATGTAAATAATAACGAAGAAGTGAAATGAGAGGCAGGGAAACGAGAAATACAGAGAAAACCCAACGAAAGCTTTGTTTGTCCATCACGAATTGCATATGAATTGTCCGGAATCTAACACAGACCCCCAGGGGAAGAAGGTGTTCGCGCTAGACATTACCCAACGACCCTTCCTACACAGTAAAGAGTAGGATATCCAAACAGTTGAGCTTGAGGAACACCTGTTAAGAAATTTTAATGTTCACAGTCTGAAGACTAATTAAACTAGTGGTGCTATAAAATCGCTTACTTTATCGCAATACTCTACACTATGAATTGGGCAGACTATCACGTTAACAGATATGCATGATACTTCTAAATTTTGATGATACTTCTAAATTTTGCAGTTTCAGAAATTCAGAGTTCAACAAAATTAGACCTGTGCCATTTTCATGTGTAATTTTCTCTATCGGTGTAAAATATTTAAAGAAAAATTTGGAGCAGCTTTTGAGAAAAATATGAATTACATTAGCATCAAGCAGAAATTCGCGAAAAGTACTCGTTTTTACAAATTTGAACATGCCAGTTTTTCAAGATCTAATTGATTAGATATGATTTTATTTGAAGAAAAATCGTTATCAATATTTTTTATTTACAATGTTAATTTTGTGCATTTTTCGAGAATGCTGTTTGCCGAAAATTGGATCATCACTTTTCTTCCTCCCTTTCATGCATACGAGGACAAATTTTATTATTCAATATTGGAGACGTAGAAAGATGCCGCAAAAGTTCGTACATGTTGAATTTTTAGTCATGTTGAATTTAGAGATTTCTATAAAATAACACCTACCCCAATTTTTAAACGTTGTTTACGCTAAGCGATGACAAAATTAAATAAATTAATTTAGAGCATTTTTTGACAAAAATTTGTAAATGTAAAATGTTTTGATCTAAAATACCTCTAAAAATCAAAATATCTGTTTTCATCTCGCAGAGTCTTGAGTTCTTTCAAATCAATCGGGGAATATAAATTTTGAATAAAATCGTCTGAAGCGTTAAGGTGCTAACGTTGACCGCAGACGTTTCGCCGTTAGTCCATTCTTCAATATCAAGGATTCAGAAAACATAAGTTCTGTCTATATAACGAGTTAAAAGAAGTAATTTGCTACATGTGGTAACAAGATTTATGCACTTTTTCGTTACCAGGGCCGGACAATACGGGTTTTTCTGTCCATCGCAGCATTACAACTCTTATAGTTTACTAGTAAGTTGTACGTAAGAAGGCGAGAAAGTAAAAATTGTTCAATAAGTTGTGAACAGAGAAAATATAGTAAATCACAATAAATTACAATTTTCAACAAAAAAATCCGCGCGGTGCAGCGTGGGCGTGAGTGAGCTGCGTTGGTGTCAGTGTTCCGGAACACACATTCAGACGGCGTCAAGTTTCATCCTCATAGTGAAATTTTTTTTTAATAATCTGTAAAATAATTGATTTCAAAGTCATGACCTCAACCGTAACATAATTAAATGAGAGAGTTCGTTTTATCAATTTTCTTTTACATGAGCCGAGTCGTCACACCCATGTACTATTTTGCGGGACAAGGGAAAGGCTTTATGTTGTTGCAAAATGTATTTACTCATTTATTGCTTCGTATACTAGCGCCAGTACCCAGTTTCACGATTGTATGGTTGTATTTGGCACATGGCACTTTGAGTCGATTGTCCGACTTTGCCGGCCAGCTAACGGTGTACCCATGCCTGGGCCCAGTTTAATTCCCTCGCGAAGGGTAAGAAAGACATGTGGCGAAACGACGTATTTTCTTTACCGTAACTAGCAAACTCCGTCGGACAGCTTTTTCTGCAGCGATTTTAAAGAAAACGCTACGACCCTATTTTAGCTCCGATCGCGAATCGAACCTGGGTTCGCACCACTAGTCCCCTGCCCATGAGGCTCCTTAGGTCTAGTTTTACGGATACTGATGCCAATATGCTGCCAAGAGGCCCCAATGAGGCCGGGCGAAGTGCTAGCTTCCCCAGGCAACGAAGTTCATTAGCATTAGATATTTAAGTAACCCCGTTATTAACAACCAGGAGACATGACAGTGCGCAGCCCACGACGCACCGCCTTCCGCAGAGGTGGGCTCGGTGCTGCATGCACAGCTACGAATCGTTTGCTTATCAAGTTATTGCGATAGAAAAGGAATTCGTACAAATAGTCATATTCTAGTTATATTATCCTCAGAAATCAAGTTGCAAATTCACACGTTTGTCGGTTATTGTCTTGTCCAAGTACCTAAGAGTGCACTAGTAATAAGTAAATAATATCGTTTAAACACACTTTTCCGTAGGTTTTAATTTCACTCGTCAACGATAATTCTGCGGCGTGTAATTTTATCTCATCGTTCGAGGTCACGAAATATACAAGAAATGAAAAGATGTTCGGTCGCATGCGTATCCTTGATGCTTTGTCGAGGATTACGAATTGATAACGAACGAAGATTTCAGAAAATTGACCTTAGGAAACTTAATAAAACCTCTGAAGCATCAATAGTCTGATATGGCACGCGCACTAACCCCAAACAAATCTCACAGCTACATTTTTCAAGTGCTAAGTGATATTTATGAATAATGATTATGTTAATACTGGTTGCTTCACCGCCGAAAATTGATGATATAGAGTAAAGGAACTCCCCTTTTATGACATTTCGCGAACACATTTGCATCGTAAACTCTACAGTAGGTTCACTACTTTGAAATTACTACGTGTTTAACTTTTTACATCATGTGTCATCGTATTATCTTGCACAAAAATTCTTCTTAAATCACGGTAGATTAGCCGATTTTTGCTCAAAATTGGCTCCAGAAAAGATATGTATATTTTGGATATCTTTGTAAGTCAATCTTCATATTGAGAGATGATTATTAATTAAGAAGATGTAAATATTAATAATCTTTTTACTTTGGATAATTTACTTGCGTACTTCTAAACCTGTATCTTTCAACGTTTCTATAAATTGTCTAGATTTTAGTTTTAAGATTAGATTTTACCAAGGTGAAACGTTGGATACAAGATGTCTTTAATATAATAGGTGAAATCACTCTTCAAAATAAATAATTAAATATAATCTTTGTTCATATTTTATTTTGAATTAAGAACGATCGGGCCAAAGTGGTAGCATTCTTTCAGTCTCAATTTTTATAAGAAAATAAAAATAATTTTAATGAAGTAAATTACGTCAATCTTGAAAATAATTTGTTGGCTGTATAAAGTTCCTCATATGATAGCATCTCATGCGATTTAAGCGAATTTAGTAACAAATTGATATATCAAATTTCCTGAGGTAAAATAGGCATGCCTTGAACTATGAACTTCTGGTAGAATTTGAAAATAAAAATACATTTTTGATTTGATAAATGTATATAATACAACGCTCTGTGCAAGCACTTGATGTAACATTTTATTCATCAAGTTTTAACTTTATGAATTTGGCTGACATTCTTTCTTCGATCAAATGGATATCGTTGAATTTCGTATTATTTTTATATCTGAGGAAAGGGTTCTTTTCCACTAAGATTTACTCATATCTACAACATAATTAGTTTTTCTGGCCGCAAAAATGCCATCCGTTATTTGTCTTTAAACAACTTTCATTATTCGGCAAATTATTTACTCAGTTATCTTTGCGGTATATTAATTCTTCCCGAGTTCCGCACTCATAATAATATTTCTACCGTTTTGCTTGTAAAGTGCATTAAAAACTATGGCTTTATGTATTATAAATTCAAATATTATAAAAGTCATTCCTATCCTTGTTGGAAGTTCAAAAATTGACGGCTCACGTTTAAGATAATTATGAACATTTTACAAAAAATCCAAACAATGAATCGCATAACGGGACATTAACATTAAATGTTCACGAGGGTAAAGAAGAAATTCACAACGACGATTTTACTCAGCTCACATAACGATCGACTTTTCAACTGAAGACGACTGTAATGTGTTTAAGGTACTTCATTTTCGTTTTACTTGTATCATTTACAATTGTACAAAAATGTTGAGGATCCTAAAGACTCTTCGAGGAAAGTAAATTTTAAGTTTTAACCCCGCAATTCCGTAAAAAATACCGGAAGTGATGACATACTATCCAAGCAGCTAGAGAAGTGTGATGATCTAATGAGACAGTTACTCTTTCAATAAGTTCATACGGCAGACACATATGGAAAAAACACGAATTGATCACGAGGGCCACTCAGCCGGAATTGTCCCTGCGCAATACGTTCTAGAAGGCGACAACAAAGTGTTAATGAAGTACAACAAGGTTTTAAATTTGAACAACCCAAAGACCCGTGAATCACCCGCAGCCAAGTTTAGCTCGCCGATTCGCAACAGCCGTAGCCCCCGACACGACGTGTGGCGGCAGCGGTGGCAGGTCCGTCGCGTCGGCCTGTTCACACGGGCGAAGGCGCTAACAGGCGGGCGAGCAAGCGAAGGCGGAGGCAACGGCCGCGTTGAAGCCTTTCCTGGGCGTCTCGCGGTCCGCTCGGAGGCCAAAGAGGCTGCCACCGCGGTCCCGGGCTCGAGGCCCGGCGGGGCGCGGCCTCACTCGGTGCGACGCGCGGCGCGACGCGAAGCGGAATCGGCCTTCCCCGACGTTCAGTGGCCGATGGTAGTTGAAAATTTCTTCGAGGCGATTTTCAAATTGTGAAATTCTGTTACGAGGTAAAATAATAATTATTCATAACTGAATGCGTGAATGTTAATACTGATCATAAATGATTACTCGTCAGTATACGTGTGCATCGAAGCAAGTGACAACGATTAAAGACGTCTACCTCCATTGAAAATTATATTAAAAAATTCTGAAACATAGACATTGTCACATATTTTGTAAACAGAACTAAAATCGAATAATATTATATACGTGCATTATAAAAAATTACATGAACAGACATTTTATTACAATTTTCGTACACCACATTACAGACATTTCAGGCAGCGTGTTTAGGAAATTTTCATCCGTGTTTTACACCGCTTGTCATAACGATACAGAAGTCGCGGTTTCTCAACATTTCTTTTTCAAGAATACACGAGTGAGTTCAGATTTAGAAAAGATAAACTCCAAAAAATAAAAAATTAATGAGAGATAAATGTGCGTAAAAATGACTTATATGTGCTTAATAACATGTATTCGCTTAGAGAGGCAGTGAATGGGTAATTATTTATTGCAAACGGATAATTATTTATTGCATCTTGGATCTTCGGTTATGCAGTAATTATCACACAAGTTAGGCAAATTATTGAATACTTCTTAATAATTTATTCAAGTTATAATAAAACTTTGATTGGAATATGGTAAACTCATAGTTTTGCCTACTATTCATAACAATATATTTAAAGAAACATAATAAAACATTTACTTTTTAATGGAGTTCATGTCTGAAGAAATCAAATTTTTTTCACACCAATTTGTCTGTGCTACCCGTCCTTACTACCCAATCGAGAGCACGCATTACTTATTATCTCTTATGATTCTCCACAGCCAACAGCAGGAATTCGCGAGGCAACGGTTGTTTTCCGTCTGAACCAAAAGAGCGGGAGCGGGAGCGCCACCGCGATCGGAGGCGATATAGATATTTTGAAATGACGTATTGAGGAGCGAGCAGGCCACTGGTCGTAGGACCGGTTATTGTGAAAGCCGAGTGAGTAATGTCACATTGCAGCTCCCTCCCCCGCACGGTGTGGTGTGGGCCCGAGCAGCAGCTGCCGCCGCCGCCGCCACCGCGGTTGCCAGCGTCAATACGCGCGCGCGCGCCCGCCGCCGCCGGCGGCAGCGGCGCTGGCGGCGGCGCCGGAGCGGAACTCGCCGCCTTGGCGGCAAATGGGCCGACGAAGAAAATACATTAGCACTTCTATGACAACGTGTTTCTGCGCGAAATTTCCCAGCCTCTGCACGTCTAGCCTATCGCCTCTAAAATACTTTATGGAGAGATTCTCATTTCGTGCAATGACTGCTTCTCAGAGCGTCAGAGAAGTAATGAATAGTTAATGGTGATTCATATTGGCAAGACAGTGTTAAATTACCTAAAGCACTTCCTTTTGGCTACATGGATTACTATAGTATTGAATATTTATAGTAAAGAATTCTCACTAGTCAGCGACAATGTGCTAAACTTTCAACAACGACGGTTGTTGAGAAATGTTGTAATGTTGTTCTAATGAAAAATAAAAAGTGTCTTTGTTGTTGTTATTATTGCATTTTAGAATTTGCAAACAAAAATTTCGCAATTCTGAAAACATTTATTCGAAAAAATAATAGCCAATCAATGTATTGGAAATCATTGTGAAGATGTTCACTGTGACAGTTCACCTGTCTTTCTTAATGCCATACGCGAAATCATGTTTGTAATTTGAAATATAATTTTTACAATCACACAGATGTATACACTCCTTCTTTAAATATTTTTTAATTCTCCTAACATGCCAACTGACTTTCAATAAATTTTTTTAACACTATCATGAGTGGAAGTAATATCACTATAAATATTCCATTCTTAATAACCATTCGAAAAGTAGAAAGAGAGAACCTTTTGAGTCTACCAATTTCGAACTACCACATGAGTCGAACCGATAATCACAATCTAATGTCACATTCAGAAAGAAAACATAAATATACCAGTTAGTGAAAATGAGCACGTGACAAACAGCAAACGCCCCCACGTTCTCTTACATCCGGGGCCAGAGATCCCAACGACCGGTCAGGAAAGGAACCTTCCGGGCCACACGCACAGCGCACAGCCTTACCGAGTGAACATGATGCCTCCGCCGACGGTCTCAGTGAGTGGCTTCCTGAGAAACTGGATCGATCCAAAATCCTTGGCTCTTTTGCGAAACACCGACACAATCCCGAACTGACTTTTCCACGTCACAAGGGCACACGACACTACACGTCTCCACGTTCGTCACATATCATCACCAGCGGAGAAACGGATGCAGGAAACGCATGGTAAGTGAAACAAACAATCCGGCTCGCGGCCCGCTGATGTCCATGCTGGTCATCGACGAATGACACCGCGCTGTGAAGAATCGTTGCCTTCCATAAGTGCTACTAGAGCCGGTGGTGACGGCAACGACAGCAACCACTGGCACTGGGGCGTCGTGGAGGCGGCAGCGGTGGCGGATGCTGCGGTGACGGTGACGGCGGCGGCAGCGGCAGTGTCAGCGACGGCGGCGGCGGCGGCGGCAACGGCAACCCACGTGAGTCCGCAGCGGCAGGCTAAGGTCGCTCGGGGACGCACCACCCTCGCTCCGCAAGCACCGCACTCACTATACCACAAGGTAGCCACTTTACGTTTTTGGCGCCCTCCCCGCTCTCTCGCGCGCGGCGGCCTCGCCTCTCCGCCATTGGCTGAGGAGCGGCACCGGCGCCGGCGCGCCTCGCCATTGGCGCTCGCGACGCCGCGCCTGCACCACGAAAAAAAACACACGCCGCGCTCCTGCATGAAGGAGGAATCGACGGGAAAATAAAACAAAGTAGAAGGAGATGAAGGATATGACCGGCTTAACGGGCGCGACGAAGACGGAGCGCGCGGCGGGTACTCTCGATGGTCGCACTGTAAAAGACGCTAATGCGATAAATGTAAGTTCAAACTTTAAATATACTGTTTGTTGGACGGCCTTAACGCGCTCGGCAAGAGGTGGAAGCGCACCTGAAAACTGGCAGAGCCATCTTGTGAGAGACCGGTGAAATAGAAAAAGGCCTCGTCGGTTCTTATGAGTGTTGTGTGGTGCATATGTGTCAAGCAGCAATGAAATATAAAAAAATCGTGTAAATTTACAAATTAAATGAAGATTTATAAGGTGATTGCTACGTATTCCCTTAAATCACCAAATAAAAGATATTTCCTTCTAGAAATAGAAATCACAAACACTTATAATCTTCACTTTCCAAACATTGGGTTAGATAATTTATTTGTGCAGTATATGCTATTATCCTTGATAAATGTAAAGAGTCCATCCAATTTTACTTATATTTTTTCCACCGTGTGTATATTTGAATAATGTCATCCCAGATAATTAATAATTCATCTAAACGTATCTTAGAATTGTTAAAAGTAAATACCAGTTGGGAAATGTACGTACCAATAAGAAATGAAGTCGGAATGAAACAGTATCTTACATTATTGCTATTAAGTTTTACCATTATAAAATAACAAAATATCTGGTGCCAGGTATTAGCTGCATTTTTAAAGTAGTATGTGTACATTTATATTTGTAAATTAATCATTGTAGTAGATTAGAGATTAGTATGTAGTTAAATAGATAAATGTCTTATAGACTAAAAGCAGAAAGAATAATGGAACTGAATGGAAGAATAGAGTTTAGCATCTTTCATTGCATACTACAATCACTGCAGTTAAACATAAAGCCATACATATTTGATTTTTAAAACATTCATTTAATTGTTTTACTTTTTAAAAAAAACATAATACACCGAATTGTTGCTAGGAGTAGAGACATTTTAAAACTGGCCCATGCGTTAGTTCACACAGATTCTGAGGAAGCTTCCTTATGATAGTTTAAAAGGAGAATTTACAGTCATAAAATGGATATCTGAGAAATTGATACATTTTGATGAATAAAATGAAAACGTCTGTTAATTTATGAATGAGGGAGGTGAAAGACGGCGGTTCATATAAGAATGTACTGGCAGACTACTTCAATAATACATCATATCGTATATCTTCGCCGCTGAAGTTATTGACGGCTAACTTATTGAATTAATGACAGAGTATCTACAAGAAAGTACGTACAATATTATAAACACAATGCTGTTAATACCTTAATCTGCATTGATATTTACAGATATTGTAAATTGATTGCATTTGTCAAGCGACAGAGTAAAGATTACAAGACAAAAATATCTAAAACATTCTAGTTCATCATCTTGAATTCTAAAGGTGTTTGAAGTACGCTGTAGTAAATTACACTGAGTAATCACACTCAATAAAGAAAACACTGAGAAATATATCAAACATAAAATTGCAGTTTATCAAACGATATTAAAATTTAAACGTTTGTTTGAGAACGGAGATTCATTGAGTAGTGCCGCGTGTTCGATGAAGGTACAACTGAATTTCGAAAAGGTTTTAGGAATTAATTTCAACAATTTAAGAATCTGCTGCAACATGGCCACATTAATTAACAGTAATTATATGATGTTATTACTTATTAATAAAGTTATCATTTTGATGGAATGGTCATTTTCGTGTTCATGATCAGGTGTACCATGTTAATATTAGAACGTAAAACTCGGCGGAAGAAAGTAATGTTTGATAAAAGGAAAAGTGCACTTAATTATGTTTAAACATTAAATAAATTTAGTATTGAGTTCAATTCATTATTGTATCTATCTCCTCTAAGGAAAAGAAAATGTGAAAGTCAAATGAGTACCTAAATATTTCATTTTCTCTGAAATGGAACACATTGTTTTATCATGAAGACGAAAACAAGTTCGCACACGCCGATATACTCTTTCACCATCATGATTGAAATTGGTCTTTTAAGATGCTTCATATCGTTTATAAAACGGTATTTAACGGCCACATCTTAACGTCATTTCTTCTTCTACCCGATGTAGAACGCCATGGTAATTGTATTAATTTCTTAATATTTGTTCACACATACCTTTTTCTGTGGAAATCAATTCTCTAATGTGCAAAGAATAACTTGCTGCGCGTAGACAAAATAAATTTAAGTATGATAATAGGCTTCTTATAAAAAAATACGAATGGTATCTAGTCACGACAACCCTTAGCACATGGATCTAATATGAATAAGAGCTTGCTTTAATTGGAAAGTACACTAACCATGTTGATAATATACACAAGATAATGAGAGAAAATTGCACATATAAAGCTACGAAGTGCCTCATTCGATTTGTTAACTCAAGACCTCGATAAAAGTGAGAATTTCTAAGAAAAATTTGCTTTTATGGCTGATAAACCTACCAAACTCTTCAGCATGGTTTGTATCGTTCCCGCTAGACAGTGCTGTACTTTTAAATATAGTTGTACTTGATTTAATAATTAAATACTTCATGAACAAATGAAGTGTTAGTCAGTGTTTTAAAGAGCGTTGCTTCACATTGTAATGTGTATTCTCATTTGTGACTGCATAATATAGTGAGAACGGCCATTCCCGTAATAATAATTAAGTATTTAATATGTGTTTTCAGTTTCCTTAATATGGTCCTGAATGAGAATAGAACTAAAAATCTTAAATCTAAATTGAAATTGATTAATATCTGTAAATCAGAAATAATTATTGTCTGTATTTTTTATTAAATGTCAATGAAAGAATGTCCATTTTGCGAAGCACGAAATATTATAGAACAGTTGATATACAGTTGATAACAATAGAATGAAATTGACTTTACCTATCAACAACATTTTCAACTAATAATTCACCTACATCATTCAAGCAATTATATCTTAATATTAATTATTTTAATCCATATCTACTCTTCTATATATATGTATCTATACTTCTACACTAATGTATGGAGAGACAAGTGCGTTTAGTTACAGCGCGATAATCTCAGAATATCCTGAACCAATATCGATTAAACTTTTATGCTAGCTTCCTTTCAATGTCATGAGTACTATAGGCTATGAATTACAACCATAAACCGTAATATATTTACAAAATAATTACTGTTGTGGAATTTTTTGCTTAGCATTACATCAGAGATTCAAGAGTACATCTATGTGCCACCATCAGTGTAGCTGCGGTCTACCGGAGGATGCCAACTGAGGTTTATGATTATGTTCATAAATGTTTAGAATTGGAGATTCATAGACGAAGACTGTTTTTTTATGTTTACATTCAATTGTCTAATACGAAATGTTTATATTTAAGAATGATCCTGACAGTTTTTCTTTACTCTATTTATAAAAGTAACTAGGAAACTGATTTTAATTTCGTCTAGGCCTGAATGTATAGTGTACAACATATGACATAATTGGAAAAAGTCATTTTAGAGATTGGTGTGCTTAATATTGTTGTAAGAAGGTATTAATGCACACACGTGTTCTACTTGAAACAGTTATTGATTTAGTCGTAAGTTAAGCATGATTATGAAGTATTTGCGAGTTGCAGGAGCGACACTGAAACTTATTATGAAAGATCTACGTGTTATGTTGAAGATGTGATAGATGAATGCATTTTTATAGGGAAGAGCTTTGTTATATTGTAGAGTGAAAGCGTACCTTTGGGTGCTGAAGGAATGATTATTTAAACAGATGAGAGTTCGGCAAGAATAAGTACAGTAGAACACCGGTGTTCCGAAATAATTAGGGGTGTAGTCTGTTCGGATTCGGAAATGTTCGGTTTATCCGCAGATATGTATCGTACATATACAAATACATCTATAGTATTACCAGATAAAACGCAACCTAGCGTGCTTGCGAGAAAATGGAAACGTATCGTAGCGACATGACGTTGTGGCAAAGTTGCGCACAACGGAATACAGACGTAGATAGCCGATTGCATGCGGTTATAGTTGCTACATTGATTAGAAGAGTTGAAGCAGAGTTTGTGTCGCTGCTGTTAGCTGTTAACGGGTATTCTACGTACAGTATTCAGAATTGGATTGACCAGTGTTTCGTTCATAAATTTGTTAACATGATTTTTCGTTCATAAATTAAGTTAATACAAATCAAGTGTTATTTCTTCCTGCCCAAAGTTTGTTCGGATTATCCGAAATTTCGGATTAGCGGGTTTCTGCTGTATAATTCAAGTAAAAGAGTAATAAGAAAAGGGTACTTGAAGGAATTGAACGTGTGTAGATACTGTTCTTAGAAGTTGTTAAAAATAGAACAATAGGAACAAACGAGGGATAATAAACTAAAAAACCTTACTAGTTACAACGTAGCCTCGTATTAGCACATTTACTAAACATAGGGAAGTTTGTTTGTGGTACTGTAAGCAATTGGTCTGTCTTCATACATTACAATTAAACTTGAAAGATGTAGGAGAATGCAGCTACTGGTGTCCTAAAATCCCTAAGACCTGTTCGGCTGGTAATGTGGACGGTGAATGCTGACTGCTGTGCATTGCTGAAAGTGCTCTACACCTGAAACTGTCATCATAGCCTTAATGCAAAACCAATACTTTCTGACTGGTTCACTGGCGCAGCAGCTGTTCAATACCATCTCACCCACGCCAGGTGGAAGATGAGAGAAATGCTGACGGGCAGACTTGCTCGGTTGTGTTGTCAGTCAGTCGTGGTCTCTTTGTTCAGTGTGTGTGTGTGTGTGTGTGTGTGTGTGTGTGTGTGTGTGTGTGTGTGTGTGTGTATATATATATATATATATATATATATATATATATATATATATATATATATATATATTCAATACCCTCCCACACGCAACAGGTACTCAATAAGATGCAATAGACATAGACAACTAAATACATACCCAATCATAATCATGACAGACAATAGACCGGCTTAGGTAGCTCAGATATCAACTGATGTCACTGCAGTACCTCTGACTGGGGGGTTCTAGACTTCGGCCGTTCCAGAGTCCCGACGGTGGCAGGATTTTCGACACTAGCTAGAGTAACAGGTCATGTCCTAAAATGCGACTGCGTCGCATTGCCTCCCAACAGAAGGCCTTGCGATTTCACCGTGTCATAGGCCTGTGCTCGCGGTTCGTGTTAAAT